CGCCGTCGCCCACCGCGTCGCGTTCGAGCGGCCGTCGTCGCCCACAGCGCCCAGTGGCCAGGCTTCTCCCAGCTCGCCGCGCGCGATGTCGTCTAGCACCTCGCTTGAGAACGCTGGGCGATCAATCTCGTGGCCGAAGGCGCCCGCGACTTGGGCGCCCGAGATATCCGGGGCAACTCGGGCCAGTGGCAACTCCGGTTTGGGTCCCCGGAAGAAAAAATCCGGATTAGCCCGGGCCCGAGATGCCCTTGATGATTTGGGGCTCTGGCGCTCGCACTCTCCGGGGCAACTCGAGCCCGAGGCAACTCGGGTTCGGATTTCCGAATAACGCACCCGAGTTGACCCTAGCCCGGAGTTGTTCCTGATGACTCGGGGCTCTGAACGACGATCGGCCGAGTCTCGCCCAGGAGCCCGTAGAAGGCAACATGCATATTGCTGATCACCGCAGGGCACTCGAAAGAATAATGACCAATGTGCTCACCAGAATTTGGACATCCCCTGCACATCGCGCCCGAAACCTCGCCACGGTTAAATAATCGGGTCTTGGGCCAGACCGAGCAAGACCACAGCGGCCGCGCCCATAACGCCCCAAGCGCAGACTGCGACTCGACCGCAGCCGCCTTGGCCCCCGTCATCCACAGACGCAAACATCGAGACCGCAACTGCGGACTCTGCTTCGCACGCGGGTGATGCTCCAAGACGCGCTTCACCTGCCATCTCTGAATATCCAGCTTGAACAACTCATTCAGGAACTTGGGCGGTGCATTGACTAATGATAGGCACTGTCCCAAGACATCCTTGCCCAAAGTTGAGGGAGCCATCTCCCGTTGAGCCCTGGGCAGCGAGAAAAATGCCACGCCCATGGACCTCTCGCGCCTTGCCAATGAACACCTATCCTAGCCACGTTACGCCGCGCCCTCTCGATCTCGCCCAGGGCAAACGCCTGCTCCCAGATCGCCCTGCGCAGCGCGACCAGCGACACCCGACGCTCGTCACGCCGATGGTGCGCGCCAGCTGCTCGCGCCCAGGATGTGCATGATGGTTAGTCAGAAACGCCTCGTACCATTATTGCCAGACTGTTGGCGTTTGAAACTGCTCACCACGACTGCGGTAAATCTATATTGGCGCATGCGAGTACAAGTCACTTTGAGCTCCACCCCTGGGTCAACCGACACTGGCTGAGTGCACGTCGCTTAGCACCAGCCGTGGCAGGCCTTCCAGTACCTTGCCGCTGACCCACCTCCTGGGCCATCACAGAACCGCCGAAACTCACCAGCATCATCCTCAGCATCATCATCATCATCATCATCATCAGCATCATAATCATCACCGTCGTCATCGTCATCATCAGCATCATCACCATCACCATCATCATCATCATCATCATCATCATCATCAGCATCATTGCGATGCAGCGTAGTACCCACCTCTTCGCCATTCCTCTCGCCGCTTGAAGAGCGCGTTGGCCGACTTCCGTGCCGCGCGATCCTCCATAGCAGACGCGCCCACGCCCGCGCGACCAAGATGCTCGCGAAACAGGGAACGTTCAGCATCGCGAGCAGACAGCTAATCCACTGGAGACGCGGAACAGGCCAGCTCTGCTCCCGCGGCTGACCCCTCAACTACAACTGCACATCGCATGCCCGCGCCTTCCGACGACGCCGCGGGCATCTGGAGGGCGCCATCTGCCACCCCTTGAGCTTTGAGCAACTTTTCGAGCGCATCAACCGTGAAGCCACGGCCATCCCAAGCGATGTTGCTGCCTTGCTCGTCTCGTCCATCAAGTGTCGGGCCGCGCGTCCTCGAAGCCAACTCACGTCGCTGCTCCTCCTGCGCCAATAGATGCTGCCTGAGCCCCACAATTTGACGCTCTTCGTTAGCGATATCCTTTTGCAAACTCGCATGTTGCATATTTCGCCCTTCCAGCTGCGTGTCCGCGTTAACAATCTACAATCTGCAGACACACAGGCTTGTTGGCCCGACGCTTGGCGCACAGTTCTTCCTGTTGTTCAAGCAGCGCCTCGCGTGCCTGTCGTAATCCAAGAATTTGCGACACCAACGACTGGAGGCATTTCTTGGGCGTCGCCTCGACTGCCGCGACCTGCTGCTGCAACCCAGCTTCAACACCTTGGGAAACCCGTAGTTGTCGCCCGTGGGGTCCATACCATCGCCTCCGTCAGGCTGAGCCTTGCCTCGTGTGCATTGAGAAAGTTGTTTTGTGGCCCGCCCAACTCCGCCGCCATCTCACCCATCCGCAGATTGCGGGCACGATTCTCTTCCCAGAGTAACTGCGACGTAGAACGCTGCGATGGAGATCCACGCGCCTTACGGTCGGATCCAGGACAAAATAATATCATTCAACTACATAAAACCCTCTGGCCGCCCAAACATCCCAAACCATCGAGGGTACCCTCACCCAGGGTACGCAAGAACATCCAACAAACACGAAGAACATTTGGATAACTTCCCCGAACCGACCTCGATCTTATACATAAGTCCTATTGTCATCCCATCAACCACCGGCCGCTTATGCAGACCACACATCTAGCAATGAAGATGACAGTAGCGAGTGTCTCCGTCGGGCCCAAAGTGCACCTACAACATTTGCAGCGCCGGTCTGGTCGAAGCTTGCCTGGCCCCGTGTCTCTGACTGCACCCATTCAGCTGGTTTGCCGCGGCCAACCGTACGAACACCCAGACGAGATATCTTGTCCTGCCGTTGCGCCGTGGCGCGGGGAAAAGGGAATGGGCCAGGGCCCAATACAGTATGGAAGCGGTCGGGGCCGCTCCTCCCCAATGCTGAAAACTCAAGGTCCGTGAATCACGCTACGGATATTGAGCCGCAAATGTTACGGACGCCGTCTTCCTCCTCCTCCTCCTCCTCCTCCTCTTCCTCCTCCTCCTCCTCCCTCTCGCCCCAACGATGCGAGCACCTCGACGCGGGGGGCATCCATGCTTGAATCAGATGACCCGACCGACGGGCGGAGGGGCGCCGGGGGGATGGAATGAGCGAGTCGGAGGGCAACAGCGATAGGGAGGGCGAGGCGGTAGAGAAGAGCGAGAGGAAGAGCGAGGGGGAGGCCCGAGGGGAAGAGCGAGAAGGTGGACGGGGGAGGGCGAGGGGAAGGGGAAGCTGGATGAGGTCTAGGATTTCTTATTCAAGCTCTCACACTTCTGAAGAGCGAACCGCAGTGCAGCCAGCGGGGGGCCAGGCCCCGACCAGCCCTGGACCCCCTGGCCGCGAGGAGGACCGCGCGGAGCGCCGACTTGCCCCCCGCGAGGCAGAGCACCTCCCCGACCTCCACGGCAGGGCCCACGAGGGGAAGCCCCGCCGCTGCCAGCCAGCGGGATGCTCCCGCCAGTCCGCCCGCACCGCCCGCCCCCGCGCCCGCGCGCCCACGGCGCCGGCGCGCGCACCCGCCGGGGCGACGGGCGAGCGGCGAAAACGACGGCGCCGACCGCGGCGCGCAGCGTCTGCCCGGCCGTCGCCCTCCAGGCCCGGCAGCTCCACGCCCGCGGCGGCCCCTGGAGCCCCTCGGGCCGCCGCGCCAGCGCCAGGCCCCGCCCACAAGCAGCCCCGCGGCCCGCCGCTCAGTGCCAGCGCCCGCTGCTCCAGCCGCGGGGCGCCTCCGCGGCGCGCGCCGCTCCGCACCTCCGCCAGCAGCAGGCGGCCCAGCGCGCCCCGCAGCGCGCGCCTGCGCCGAGCGGCGGCGCCGGCACCGCCGGTGCTCCGCCTTCGCTGCCGACGGCGCCGTCGGCATCTTCACGTGCACCTCCTCGCCGACCGCCGCGTCAGCCGCCAGCGCGCGCGGCGCAGACAGTGCAGCCGAGGCAGCGGCTGCTTCAGCCGCGCGGGCGACCGCCGCGATGGTGTGACGAGGCGCACGGCCGCCCACAACAGCGCGGACGGCAGCGGCAACGAGGGCGGCGCCGTCGAACGTCGGGAGGGCCCCTCTAGCCCGCGCAGCAGCCATGCCATCGCGGAGGAGCCCAGGATGAGGAGGAAGAGGAAGCAAGAAGAGAGAGATGGTGAGGGTGGGAGGGGGGGAACGAGGAGGAGGAAGGAGATGTGAGGAGAGGAGGCGAGGAGGAGGAGGAGGAGGAGAGAAGGAGGAGGAGAAGGGGGAGGAGGAGGAGAGGAGAGAGGGAGGAGGAGGAGGAGGAGGAGGAGGAGGAGGAGGAGGAGGAGGGGGAGTCGCAGGAGCGGCAACTGCACGAGGTGGGCGAAGGAGAGAGGAGGCGCGGGGAGAAAGCTGCCGGGACCGAGCGGCGCGCCGCAGCGGACCGTGGGGCTGCGCCGGAGGACGCAGCGCAGAAACGCACACGTGCAGTGCTCCGAGGCTCCGCGCGGACTTCTCGGGCCGGGCGCCCCACCTCCCTGGCGGCCCCCCCTGGCGCCCCGAGGAGTTGGAGGAGGAGGAGGAGGAGGAGGAGGAGGAGGAGGAGGAGGAGGAGGAGGAGGAGGAGGAGGAGGAGGGGGGAGGGGCGAGCCCGGCGCGGACCCGAGAGGCCCGCGCGGAGCTCCGAAGGCCTGTGCTCACGCCGTGTGTTAGGCCAACAGACGGCGTGTGTAATTGTATGCTCGTGCACTTTGGGCGATCTGTTCTTCATGCAATCTTGAGTTGCTTGTTGGGAATTGTTCGCTGCGATGATGGCATGCCTACACTAACAGGTTCACGCGAGAGCGTTTACTGCTGGCTCTTCCTCGAGGCGGGGGCAGGAGCGGCCAGCATCGCATCGGAACGCTGGGCCGAGGCGAAGGCACGTCGGATCGGCGGTCTGCAGCGGCCCGGAGCTGAGATCGGATCGGACCGGCCGCGCCGGGATGCCCAGCGGCGCCATGCAAACACACGGGCCGCATCGGGTCGGCAGCTATCGACATCGACTCGGACCGACACGGCCGACATCGACATCGAGCCGGATCGATCGGAGGCCTGGCCGGAACCGAGATCGAAGCGGATCGGTCGGATCGAGATGGACCCTGCAGGGGTGGCTGGCGC